ATTACTCAAATAGTCCTATTTTAGTGTTACATCATCAGAATGGATGTTAAGAATTATATCTGAATATATGTCTACAGTTAAAACTTCAAAATAAAACATATTATCACTCAAATTAGAGAGGGGAACTTAAAGGGAGGGAGCAGCCTAGTAATTCAACAGGCTGAAATTACATGCTTCCTAATATAAATATTTTCACATCAAGACCATAAGTTTGGTCAATTTAAGACGTGATTACCAAAACACACCAACTGTAAGAAGGGGAGTAAAAAGGGAGGGAAAAGTGCAGAAACCTAGGGATGGATGATGCCTGGCAGTGAAAGTCATTTTCAAAGACCATTAACTATCAACTGCTTTACTCAGGGCTCTGATTAAATAAGAATATACATCCCATGTTGAAAGGGATGTCTACATGAGTGGGACAGAGTTTAGAATACAAATGTACAAACAATAAAGAAGAATCAAACCACACTATACAATTAGGCATCTGATTATGAGATTATAAAACTGTATATGTGCCTTTTAAACTGTTAGTGAATAAACATTTGAGGGGGGGAGGTAGGAAGTCAGACAAAACCACCATTTCCACTTTAAAATATAAATTCAACAAACTGAAACTGTGTTTGCCTATATGAATAGAAAGAACTAAAAGAGTACTGGGAGAAAAATTCATATCAAACATGCTTTTAAATGGACTCCAGCAATGTTATTATATATTTCTTACAATATATTTTATTTATCATTTCTCTGAAATGGGCTAGATTTTATATTAGAAAGAAAGTTTGCTTTACTCTGTCATATCTCTGGTGAGCAGACGCTCTAGTATTAATGTAAATCGTTGATTTAATTTTTAGCTTTCTTGGTTTGCCCCTCACCTACCTAAGAAATGATTTCTCTGGTGATAACTAACACATCATGCTAATGAGAGAATCTAATGCACAATAGAAAAATGTCACTACTAATAATATTTGCATGAAGTTAAATAAAGCAACTGTAAGAGAATGTCAGACAGTTGTTCTTTAATAAGACACAGTTTCACAATGAAATTATGTTGTTAATTTTGTTACATCATTGGGTGAATCCTAAATTACTACATAATGATGCACAGAGTCATTTATAATTCTAACTTAGTATTTCACTTGTGTCTGAAAAGAGACCTTATTAAGGGATCTACATTTTATTTGAAACAGGTTAAATATACCTCACCAATAATAAAAGGTAAATGCCTCTAATAATGTGTAAAACATGGGCTGGAGCCATTTACCTGTTACGGTTTCATGTCTGAAAAGATTTCAAAATATATTAGACTATTGCATCCCTTGAAGTAGCTACAAAGAATTTTATTTGATATTGCCTCAAATGCACAAAATATTTACAAAAATAGAAAAATCACTTTTTAAAACCTGATTAAGAAAAAAGAAAAACAAGTTCCAAAAGCAGGCCTTATTTTCTGCTTTTAACAATACTTAATGAGGTTAAAATGGGCAAAATAATGTTCTAGACTCTAGGAGATTAACACAGAAGATGAGCAAAGGGTTTCTGGTCATTCTCGACCTGTCATTGATCAAAGTAACTCAAAAAGGAACTTCCTTTACAGAAGTCAAGAGTCATGCCCTTTAAGGTTATCAAATATTTGTCTGTATGGGGAAAAAAAATTATCCTTTTTGAAAAATCTTACTTAAACATGGGAAAGATGTAGGAAGGCAAGAAAATGTGGTAAAATTATCATATTGTGAATGTAAGGGACAAATACTTAATTCTATCAAATCTAAACTGGCTTCAGTTTGTGATGTCTTTTTGTTAGTATTAGACAGACAGAAAGATTTACATATAAGCAGATCCAACTTTGCTCATACAAAAGACAAAGAGTTTTATATCCCTACTTCCTAATTTACCTGTAGAAGATACAAATGTAGATTATTAAATTTCAGTGTTCATGAGATATTTCTACAAGTTTTGCTATAGTTAAGTAGTAATGGTGGTTAATTCTCTGTAACTCAGTTTTGAAACCTGCTAGTCAGTCTTTTCTAGTATTTAAAGAAATGATCTGGTAAATTTTATAGTTTTATATCATTACAGAAAACTTAGAAATAAAAAAAATAGACCCAAGCAATTCTATTCATTTCAAGAGTTGAATCAATTTTTTCTTAGAAATCAAAATAATCATAACACAGAAAAACCTCTTTATACGGAATTCTGCCTGTTTGATTAAACTGGACAAACTTTTACCTGTAGTAAAACAAAAGCTGGCTTTAATGTGTATACTGAAACTAGTATTCCTTGAAACTGTTGGTTTCAAGAAAATCATTTCAAGAAAAGTGTCTTTCCTGCGTGCACAAACACACACACACACACACACACACACACACACACACTGAATCAGCATTGCTGATGAACTATAGGTAAAGAAAATAAACATATTTTAATAACATGTACAGCATATATATTTTTAGATTTACACAGTCTGAATTTAAGTTTACACAATATTTATACCAACTAAAATGTCATCCTGAAGGAGAAAAAAAAATACACTCATACACTCTTTACATGCTTTCCAAAAATGCACAGGAGGTAAATATTTAGTAACCATGACAGAAAAAAAAGGGGGGGGGAGCCAATAACTACATTAAAACCAAAAAATAAAAAAATATATATAGTTAAATCACAACACTTTTTAAAATTGTGATTTTTCTCCATTTTACTACTCTGTTTAGTAAATGGCATAATACTATGTAATTTTATATAGCATCCATTATGCATAAATTACCTCCCTATAGTTCTACTCTTTTCATATAAGTCGACTGATGCTAAGACACATGCATGCACACAGGTAGAGACAAAACAGATCTTTATATATCCACAAAGTCAAACAACTGGATCAAAGACATCATACTAGCTTAGTTGCACAAGTTTCTCTGAGTGATTTCAAATTATTTTCCTAATTCTGATCAATCATTTATATCATTTACTTTTATTTGTTTTTTAGCTAAAATGTTTTCCATGACTTAGAGTCTCCTTAGATTCAAATCTACTTGGAAATGGGCTAGTGCCAAAGAAGCAATCTAACACCATCTATGTGGTTCAATAGCCATTTATCAATTGATCATTATCTCTATCTGGTTTTATTAACTCTTTTCTAGCTAGAGGGAGACCTAAACAAATCTTCCCTTCACACACACACACACACACACACACACACACACAAACGACCTTCCCTAACTCAAGGAAAACCCTAAACGTGACACTAATTTTTAAAGTGCAGCACAAGTTGCTTGGTCCTACAGTGAGTGCACACCCTGTGTTACAAGCACGGAGAGAGCCACCCAGGCAGGGATGTGCCTCAGAAACACACCCCTCAAAGCACTCCACGATGACAAGGAGTATCTCTGGGAGGAAATGAACTTTTTAACTTGCAAGAATGGGAAATAGCTCATAAAGAGTTGCTTATTGGGTTTATGTTGATTGCATTTAAATCCCAGCTTACTGTATCAGCAGTAATCAGGGTCCCTCTACAGGATATGTCAAAATACACCTTATTCAAATGCATTTATCCTATCTAGAAGGGCATGATAAAACTGTTCGCTAGCTAAACGCTACAGAAACCTGGCTCTGTGCACTGGCTTTTGCAGACGTACCTCTGAACTTCTGGTAGTTTATAGCCTACCAAATTGTTTTCTTTCCTTCATTACCAATACTTTTAAAAATCTGATTACCTCAATAAAGTATTTAATTCTCATGAACTCTTGCATGCAAAACAGGTTTTAGAAAAAGAAAGCAATTGCAAATTTGTTTTCCAATGAGTGGAACAGTACCAATTTCTTCACAACTGCCATCTACTTAAAATCCAACTGTATTTGTCAGTAATACTTCCGTGCTGTGTGGATGATACTATCATGCTAACTCTTGCTTTGTGTGGGTTTGGTGCAGGCTTTTGAACAGCAAGACGTGTCTAGGAGGGAGGCACCAGGGAACTTCCCTCCCTCGCTTGAGCACTGTCCAAGATGAAAGTTTCTGGGTTGTTTCCCTTCGCTTCCTCTCACCCTCGCTCCCCCTCGGAGCCGCAGAGCCAGCAATTGTGCAAGAGGAGCCGGGCGTGCAGGGCGCGTATCACCAAGCGCATGGTACAAGCCGCCGGCTCCAGTGATTAATTATCAGTTGCCGCCGGCCTCGCACTAACACGTCGGCATTCCCGGCAGAGCCAGCACACCAGCCGCCTGCAGCGCGGCCCGGACCGAGCAGCGGCTTCGGGGAGGACGCCGCCGCTGCGCCCGAGTGTGAGTGCGCCGGCCAGTGGGCGAGCGGGCGGCCGGGCGGCCGGGCAGGCGGGCCGGCGAGTGTGCGGGAGCCGAGCCGGCGCCGGCGGGAGCGCAGGGGCAAGCGCGGAGGCGGGCGGGCGGACAGGCAGCCGCGGCCGGCGCAGAGCAGCGGGGACCGGCCGGCACGGCCCGCCACGCACGCCGCCGCCTCCTCCGCGACCCTCGGCGCTGACAGCGATTCCTGCACAGCCTCCTCTCCGCAGGTCGGAGTCGAGCTGCTTCCAGCCCCGTGAAGTCAGTGGGCTGTGCAGAGGGGCCCCTACATTTTATGGCTGTTTGGTTGCAGAACCTACTCTGAGATAGCAGACACTTTGACGAAGTGATTAATACAGACAGACCGATACAGTTTTTGGATGGTGGTCCTTTTTTTTTTTTTTAATTTTAAACAGAAAACAAAGAAATAAAGTCCTCCCATGACCCAGGCTATCCTGTGAAACTTTGCAACGAATGCCTTTGCTTTCTTTTACTTCAGTATCCTTTCCCCTTTTTCTTTTAAGGAGCCCTCAGGGAAAGCATGAAGTAACCCTGCATTCCAACACCACAGTTACGACAAAACAGAGCCTAACTATTAAGTGATCAAATTTTTAAAACTGTTTAGAAAGAAAAATAACAGAAACAAAAGTCTGTATAACAATTCAAGGTTTCTTTAAAAAAAAAAGAAAGAAAGAAAGAAAGAAAGAAACTTACCTGTTGGGACATTCTGAATAAGAGGTTAGTATCAGCGTTTTGCCATGTCCCCATGAACCCTGGTTCAGCTGTAGTCGTTCTGGTTCCGAACTGCATGGAGTTGTCAGTACAGGAGTCTCTTAAAGTCAAGTCTCTTGCCCTCTTTGGCTCTCTGTCTCTCTGTGTCTCTCTTTCTCTCACATCCACTTCTGCCTCTTCTGACTGAAAAGTGAAGGTGGATTTTTTGAGCCTCTTGGCAGCCAGTAGCAGGAGTGTAGTGTAGTTAAGAAGCTGGCTGAACTGTGCATTTCATTTGGGAAGGGGGAGGTTTGGAGGAGGGAGGGGGTCAGAGCTTCTTTCGCACCTTCTGCACAGATACCCCTATCATTTATGCATAGATTGTGACTCCCCGAGCTTGCCTTTGCTCAGTTTAACAGCTGCCTGTCAGGTGTGCAGGCAGCACTGGAGACCCAACCATCAGCCTCAAACTCTCAGCCACTGCATGTCATTGGATAGCAGAGCTAAGAGTCAACTGCACCGTTCCACTGTCAGGCACCGAATGACACCCTGCACTAACCCCTCTCCAAACACACAGACAGACACACACTTATGCACACTCCAAGCAGCACCATGATCACGGACGGCACACAGGGTGAGGAGAAGCTGAGGCCCTTCCCAGGGAAATCTTCCCAACAGTGCTTTCGGGTATAACATGCAATATCAGTCTTCACTTTAACGTTTGTAAACTGCTCTGCTTAAACATTTTTTTTTCTAATTACACTGGAAGAAAGAAAAATATTCAGCTGCAAGAGAATGTTAAGTTGGCTCAGTTGTTGTCTAAATGCTAGCTCCTAAAAGTCATATACTATGTACTGGGCTATTTATAACCACATATAAACTCCTAGAGAAAATAATGTACATAGAAACTTGCCCTTCCACTCTGAAAAGTAAATAAATAAACCTAGCAGTTTTTTGAACATAGAAGATGCACAATAAACATTTGCAAAATAAATACAAAGTATTTAACATCCAGTTTCTCCGGTCATTAATTATTAAATTGGATGATAAGTAATAAGAAATGGAATGGCAAGGAAAAAAGTGTACCTTTTCTTATAGCTAACAAACAGAAAAAAATCCTTTGTTAAAGTTCCTGGATGAAGCATCTACAATATCCTTTCAAATCATAAAAAAGAAAAAGATGAAGAAAAAAAGCTTGTCCCATTTCAGGGAAAAAAGTAATGAATGTAAAAATTCCATTTTTCATTCAAGATCTCTATGGAAAATTCTATAACCTTTTCATGCCTGATGGAATATAGCCCAGAGAGCATGTTGTATTTTTAATTAAACCAGTTTTAAAACAAAACATCTATTTATTAGTGTTTACCTTATTTATGGAAAAGCAGAACTGAACAAAATGCACTGTACATAAACAGTAACTTCAAAATGGAAAGCTAAATTCATGTCATCTCATAAAAGTAGTCAGCAGGAAAAAGCCATCCTCCTAAACTTAAAATGTAAGGAACATTAATCTTCAACCACCTACAAATATTGAGGACAAATGTACCACTCTCCTTGCTCCTTCTTAACTCAAGAATAACAATAAACCTTACTCTCTGAAACAACAAAAGAAACAGAAAAGAGCTTCAATGGCAGCTCTGTGTCATTAGTGGACAATGAGAAAAGATGAGAAAACGTACACTATGTTGACACAAATGTGCCTTCCCCTCTAGAACCGACATCTCCTGAAAGCTTTTCTGTTAAACTTCCCTCCGGTTCACCACCATTAAGCACAAAAAAGTCTCAAAAGCAGCAAATTCAATATCTGAGAAGAAACAAACAAGAACCCAAAGAATTGTTGCCTTAAAATATATGAAGTCCACCTGTGGTCAATAAAAATATTCTTGAGAGGGGAGGGCAGGAAAAGCCCCTATGAGTCAATTGTCAACAGTGACTGTACCTTTACAGCTAGCTATTACCCACTTAAACTCCCTCTAAAATTTGCTAGCCTCTTGATTTCTGAAGTGGCACTCAGTGCCTCAGTCAAGCTGCCTGCTCAGCTCCTGACCTTCCCACTAATGGCTGTTATTTGTGGGAGGCTTAAGGACACTGTCAATAGCAAGCTTCCTCCTCGCTCCTCTCAGGCTCTGTTGTATCGCTTTGCCTGCGTGTTCTCTCTCGCCTGCCTCTTTGCTCTCCCGCTCTCCCCCTCCTTCCTTCCTCTCTCCTTCACTCCCTCTTCCTCTTCTTCTAGCCCCCACCCCTTCTTTCTTTCAGTCCTCTAGTCCTCTTCTTTTCCAGATATCATTCCCCCAACCCCCCGCCCCAACCACACACACAGACACACACACAACACAAAAATCAACTGGCATGCAGCAGCAAGCACCTGCAGTAATAGACTCTTTTATTAAAACTGTTATTCTGCAAGACTTGAAATTCCCCGTGGACCAGGCCATGTCAAAGCCGATATAATTAACTAGAGGCTCAGCAACGGATCAATTACCAGACAAGCAAGTGATAGTGAAATCAATGAAAGATCATCAGCCACATTATCAGTGTTGCAACTCATTAGGGCAAAACTGAGAAATGTGCTCAAAGCGAGCCCAAGCAAGGTGGCATTACAAAACAAAGGGCTAATTTGGAGACCCTGCTGTGAACAATCTGTAACAGAATTAGCCTTTTTTCCCCCTAAACTGCACAGCTCCGTAACTAAATGTGACAGACTGAGAGAAGCAGTTTATTAAGACACCAACCCCAAGTTTATTTAGTTCATAAACTCTCTCCTAGAAAATCAATACAGTCTGTACAGGGTTATTAGGCTGACTAGCTAATACATCCAAATCTGGTCTGCCCAGCCAGCAGTCTTCTGACAAAATGCTACCCAGCATAGGCAAACTGAGCTCTTTCAGATATCAAGGCTTGAGGTTGCTCTAGATGAAACAGGTCTGCAATGTAACTAGGACCCGCATATCAGTGCCAAGGCACAAGCCTCAAAAGCACCAGGATATCTTTCTAAGGTTTAAAATTTTTCACAACAAATCCATCATACAGTACACTGCACTTGCTAAATGGATCTGATAAAACAAAATTTTAACTGGTTTGTAAGACTAGTTTACAAAGAGGACAAGCTTTATAAGAGACAACAGTTAACCCAAAGTCTTAACGATAAATGAATCAGTAAACTAAAACAAAACCTCAAGCGTATACACACGCTGTGCTTTGCAGATTTTAAATTTGGAATATTCGTTATGAAATCAGGTTTTGAAAATACATATTAGACTCCTCTAGAAGTCCCCAAGATACATGATTTGAACTTGCCACTCACTGCCACACATAAACACAGCATGTAGAGTCTTTGATCTTAGGCTAATTTTCTATCTAGCAAGAAAGGCACAGGTTACAAAAAATAAACCTACAAGGCACAAAGAGGACTTCTGAGTTTGTCCAGTGGCTCGATAGTCTGTAGATTATGGAATAGTTGTCTGGAATCGTTTGGATTAAAGTTATTTAAGGCTGGGCGAGGGGGGTGGAGGTAGGCATCACTTCCATAGTAATAACTTTGTACTGCCCTGATTCCAAGTATTTCAGGTTAAAGAACTACAAATATTAAAGGCTATGTGCTGGCATTCCCACATTTACTGATTGTGAGCGGTGGACCATGGAATTTAAGAATACACCAACTAGGTCCAAATGGCAACCAAATTATTGAAGACATTATGGGAATGTGAATACCTCCACCTCACAACAACACATAGCAGATACACACAAAAAGTAAGAAACTCAATGCAGTTTACAATGTCAAAACAGACTGGAGAACTGTCAGAAAAAAACAAAGACAACAATTTTTGGAAGTGAATTCTGATGTTCATGATTTAAAATGTTTTCACATTTAAAATGTTCCAAGAAAAGGATTACACTATTAACATGACTTCAGTATACTGGCTCTAAGACACTAAATCCTAAACTTCAAAACAAAAGTCCTTATTTTCACAGGACTTTATTAGAATTCAATTTATAGATTGCCACAAATAAACATTTTTCCTCTAATTTTTGAGCTGGTACCTTAACAAGCATTTCATAGCTCATGTTTTTGAGTAATCTGTAAAAAGTTAGATACATATATATATACACATACATATTCTAAACCTATGCTATAGATGCTAATGTTTTTTTTTTTTTTAAAGATTTTATTTATTTATTTATTCATGAGAGACAGACAGAGAGAGAGAGAGAGACAGAGGGAGAAGCAGGCTTCCCGCGGAGCAGGGAGCCCGATGCGGGACTCGATCCCAGGACCCTGGGATCATGACCTGAGCCAAAGGCAGACGCTTAACCATCTGAGCCACCCAGGCGCCCTAGATGCCAATGTTTTAGATAGTAATTAAAAGTTGTAATTACAGAGACATTATATTTTTTAAAGGCTTTTTGCATATAACTACACACTGTGCATGTACCCTCAATGAGATCCAATTAGTTGCAAAGAATTTGCATTTCAGTTAGTATGGGATAACAAGACTATAGGGAGGCACAATGCAATTCCACCAGCAGAGTAAGAAAGTGTGTTCTTTCTTGTTAGCTCTGTAAGCAATAATTCCCACAACTGACTGTTTAAAATGTTACTGATCTTTTCAATATTTGGGTATCGAGGTAGGTTTAAGTTTTCCCTCCATTAAAAAAAAAAAAGATCACAAGTTGGTGCAAATATCAGCCACAATGAATACACAGAAACAAATGAACAAAGGATTTTGTTTTGTGGGTATGTTTGTGGGGGGGGGGGGGTTTGGTGGGGAGATATTGCATACTTTTTCTTTTCCTCTTAATACTTACTGATAATTTCTTTTAAAAGCACATTGCTTTCTTAAAATAAGTTCCATAATGGGAGGCAGGGCAACCTCACTGGAAACAGTTCTATGTAAATATATATGGTTTTGTGATGCAGGCCTGTAGTTAGTACACTGAGAAAGTACTCAAGGATTTTCATTTCTTCTAGTTATGTTTCCAACAATGTAAATCCTAAGCAAATATCAAATAAATGTATAATTTATATATACAGTATAACAAGCATCTATAGGACTTCTGCTGGTTCACGGAACAATACCTGTAATTCCCTGGGTTCAGTTCAGCAGCTGTTAACAGATTCTGTAATCTGTAATGACAGTAAACTGGCCTTTGCTCTTCTTTTATTCACTATTCATTTTCAAGGCTTGGTTAAGTACAGAGCTGGG